GAGAGAGAGAGAGAGAGAGAGAGAGAGAGAGAGAGAGAGAGAAAGAGAGAAAGCGCAGTGACGGGGAGGCGCATTCGAAAACGCGTCGCGAAACGCAAACCGCGCCATCGGAAGCAGCTGCGAGTGACACCAACGGTTAGGTCAGTCCCGTCGAACGTCAGTATACTGTTCCGTATATTGCGAGTCTGTATACATGTACGTCAGTTATATCGAATTGGAGGTAAGCTTTCCCTAACTGAAATTCTATGGTCCTTATAAAAAATATTAATTCATAACGTCCTCAGCAGAAATAACTGAACAATTAATTAATCGCAAACAATATTTCAAAACATTTTAACACCACGTAGATCCATAAGTCGCTTGAGGTGGCTTTGGAAAACTTCGTACGACTTTCTTACTTGAGATACATTAAGATCTTTTTTCTACCGCGTCGAGATCACACGCACACACGTGATCATAAAACGCGAGAGATCGGCTCGCTCTTTGAAACCTTAATCCGCAAGTCGAAATTCGCGCGTCATTAAATATTAACACGCGCGACTGTAAATTGCGGCTACTGACCGGAGGAGCAAATGCGGAAAGTAAGCGAGGTCTCTCGACATTCCACTCGATGGATCTTTAACGACAACGGCCGCCACACTTAATCCCAACACGCCTCGTGATCGTCGCCTCGCTTTCCCATGCGCGACCGACTCCGCTCGACCTTCCAAATTAACCCGATACCTGCTGCAGTATATGAGCCATCCACCAGAATTTATGTATATCCGGTCGTTGGCGGTCTAGCGTAGAGTAAATAAATTTTCTCACCACGTACGATTGACGTTTCCGTACAGCCGAACAAATTCGCCATACTACTTCAATACAGCTCATTGTAATTCACAAGCCACTTGGACTAAATTGTCGATAATGATTTACTAGTAACGATGGCATTATGTGATTGTTACGTAAATGAATTAAGAGAAACGATGTGTAATTATTCGTATGAATATGCAGCGTATTCTCAAATGACGCGATTGATGAATTAATCATTATATGCAACTAGATGGGATAATTACATCCTAAGGTAAATATCTCATTTTTAATATTGCAAGGAAATGTGGTCATATTTTTCAAATCTTTGAAGGCACTTTTAGTTTAATATTATATATTCTTTATATATTAAACATATTCAATTCTTAACATTTTTAATAATCATTTTTGTTGATAATTGATATGCAGCATCAAGTCTCAATTTCAATAAATAAGCGACTATCGAACATTAAAACTATAATGTAAAATTTATCTGCTTTTGGTTTGAGAATCGTTATTTTTAAATATATGTAAGTCGAGCTTGTTTTATGCAAAAGAGAAAAGTCAATAGCTAGAAAAACGAGCAAATAATGACTTGATCGATATCGATTTATCACTGCGGATTTATCACTGAACATGTTACATAACTCGTGTTTCTCTCCTCTTGTATTACATTAATTACGCATTATCTTCTTACTGCAGATACTACCTGTAATTATTACACTTTTTTCACCTTTCGATTAAACTTGAAAATTGTAATCCAGTCGAGGAACGTTGTTCTGCAATATTGCAATATAACTCTATGCAAGTTTTACTACCTGTCTATACGCAGCTAAGTCCATTTATTTTGAGTTTTGGAGGAAATTTCTGGATCGCGTTTACCTCGACCCCGCCGCACGAACGTCTAACCCTTCCGGTAACCACGTATTTATTCCCATGCTTAACACACGCCACCCTTTTACCATCCGTGCCTGCTCTCGGCTGACAAACGCGGGCGGTAATTGCGAAGCGACTGTGGATTCCAAACGTCGTCTCTCGTGCACGTGGATTAACGAAATGAAAATCCCGAAAATGGCGCAAACTGTGCGCCACGCGAGATCGACAGCCCTACTCGTGATCAAGAATTATAACGAACTCAGGAATACGATTCATGAGAGCTGGATTACTCGTCGTTCTCAATTACGTAATCCGTATATTAGAAAGTACATGATGTTGTTGCGAAAATCACTAATTGAAAGAAAGAGAAGTTTGGAAACAAAAAAATCTGTGAAGATCCATTACTACTAACTTGCTTTACAATGCTTTAGCACGCATAACATTCGTAACGTCTAATATATATGTTCATTCATCGTGATATCAAATTAAACTTTATATTCTTATTTGTGTTTCAGCGGGCAGCGATATCAAAGTGGAGTTTAAGATGCCAAAAGAAGCTGTGGTGGGTTCCTCGATCGAGGTGAGGTGCGAATGGCGATTACTGGGTGGAAGTAACCTTTACTCAGTTAAATGGTACAAGGATGACCACGAGTTCTTCCGATATCTGCCGGATAGCAGCCAGAGGACCCAGATATTCCCCCGGCCTGGTGTAAAAGTCGAGGTACGTTCCTTAATCTCTGTTTGCTTGTTGAAATTCCTGTACTATTAAGTTGTATCGTTAATTTATGTAATACTTGATCTAGCACAATTTGATACAAGATACATGATTAAAATATCCTTATGCATCTTGTAATGTTTGCTGCGTAGAGATTTTTTAAAAAGATAATGAAAATATATGGTAAATCAAGTAGGATAGAGATCATAGCGAGGAACATTAATTAATGATCGTGGAAGATTAGCTGCGTGGTTCGATTCTTCCGCCTTCTCCCTAATTATCAGAGCATCCTCGTAATTCTCTCGTATGGTACCACCGGAAGTGGAACAAGTGATATCCCATCACCAACCTAGCGAAACGTTCATCACTATTCACGCGTTTCGTGGTCGGAAACATCCTTCCTCTACCGTCGTTCCACGATGCAAGCGAGATTCCTTAAAGCGCCGCGCGGAAACTCAGCACCCCGTCTGTCGGTTTCTTTCGCCGACTGTACGTGGGATTCGATGCAATCAATCTTCTCCCTTCACTCCCTCCTTTCGTACTTCCTCGTGTCCCTCATTCGCCCCAGCTCCAGTATCGGGACATGAAAAGCTCGAGAGCACGCGAACCTTCGATAAGACGAACGAAAGAAGGAGAGAACCGGGTGGAGCTACCGACGTGTCTGAATCCGTACACAAGTTTCCGCGATTCTGATCGGCGACGCGACCGTGAGCAGACGCAGACGGCACCATCACGTCCCGATGTAATTCATCTTCCCAGAGCTGGCTGGCTGGCTGGACGGCCGGCCGACCGGCAAAACGTGCCGGGCAGCGTATCCAGACGCGTTCTTGCGCTGGTACAAATGAGGCGCGAGTTCATCCCGCGGCCGCCACTATTGCCGCGATACTACATCATCTTTCCCCACAAGCTCCCCAGTGCAAGCTGTCAGTCGCCGGGATCTCCTCCGGGGGTCGGTAAAAGGAAAGTGGAGTTACCGAACTCAATGAATAATCTTTCGTATTATATTATATCGATGAGAGTCGCGTCGGATATAACCGAGTCGGATCGGTCATGCATTGATGAAAAGAATCGATATGTACAAAAACGAGGAAACCAACGTCATCAAACTTGAGGTGAAAGCAATTAGAATGAAAGGAAGATCCTAGATCTACACGTGAGATATAATCGGAGAAAGAGAGAGAGAGAGAGAGAGAGAGAGAGAGAAATTGATATCAGAATAAAAAGAGATTGTATTCCAGAAAATATTTTTCAGTAAATTGTTGTTTAAATCCGGATTTTTATACCCGATATGATATTTTCTTTCTTTTATTTTTAATTTGTAGAATAATATTGGCTATTCCAAGATATTGCGGCACAATACATTTATTACATTGATATTTATAATTAATTTCAATATTGATTTATAATTAAACCATGACTCGAGATTGTATTAAATCGAATTAAATGGAACTCGCGTTGCTGTAAATGAGGCGAGAATTTATCATTTTCCTGCAATAGGCTGTCAACAGTGTGATATCTTTATATAAAATTCATTAAAGAGAAGTGAGATTGCAGTTTGTTGAATGGACCTTTATGTGGCGTTGATAGTATCGCATTAGACGCAGTCAAATCGATAACAGCAAGTGTATGAAAAAAAGATAATATTAAGATAATAGATATTAGTTTTTGCAACATTGTATTAAATTATATATTAAATAAAATGAGAATATATACACGAGCATTTTTTTATACGTTTATAACCAATATTAATTTTATTGCCTTGTTTGGTCTGATCATAGTATGACCATTTCTACTTATTCCCTTGGGGTTGGCGAAATGTTCGGTCGTTTCTACTTACATCCCGTCTGATTATAACAGGTCTTTACTACTTGTAATTGCGTACGAGCGTTAAAAATTTGAATTAAATTTGCAAACAGCTGGACAATTACAAAATTAAAAGAACCTCAATTAGAACCTCCAGAAGTCCAGAAATGTGATAATTTATATTTCAACGGTGTCCCTAAAACGAAGGCAGTATTTAAAAGTGTTCTTTCACATATTTGTAAGCGGCGACATCAATTTAATGTTTAATTTATACCCCGCAAAAAGTTTAAAGAGGCTAGTCTATATTTTAGAGATATATCGATTGTGAATTAATCCGCGTACGTAATGTAAAATTCAATCACCACTGTATAATTACGACAGTTTCTATCAACGACGATTAAACACACGAACATCCTCGATAGAATCGGTCCCGATCGCGGTACATTTGCCGCATCCTTTTGTCGATGGAGAGACAGGAGCTTGTACGCTGAATCTGAGGATACGTCATTTTCTCTGGAATCCTCGATATCCTGATGTGGATTCGCCTGTCGGCATTCTCCGTTAGAAACGAGATCTCACTAGAGTGAGAGAGAGAGAGAGAGAGAGAGAGAGAGAGAGCGCAGAAAGACGTTGAATAACGTATCGACGCGATAATGGATATTTCCTGCGTACACGTAGAATTAGGTTTTACTTCAGTAAAGCACTTTTGATTTATCTATTTGCTTACTACGGCATGTATCAAACGTGCATATCGCACAGGTTACTCTGTTTTCAGGATGTTTACAAAAATTCACGGAAGCCAGAGCTCTGTAAAATTATATATTAAATGCAAATTGAAAATTATCTGATATCAAGTCTGAAAGCAAATATGAAAAGTTTATCTTTAAGATAAAAAATATTTATCTATAATTAACGGCAATCAAGATAAAAAGAATTTCTCTACTACATTATTAGAAATAGGAAATAATTAGCACAAGCGCAACATTTGTAGCGTAATGAATATTTATGCATTTTTCTCTTCTCTCTCGAGAAAGAAAATATTTCTGATATCAAATGTGATATTGCTAGGAACACAAGCGGATTCAGAGCCTATTTCGTGTTACGGTACGTTATCTTCTTTCGAGATCTCCACTGGTCTTCGATTCTCTCTCGCTTTCTCGTATTTCTGGTCTTTTCGCCATTGAGGATCGAATGTTTCGAAGAATGCAATCCACCAGATTGTACTCCAATATTCTACAAATGACGTTCCGGATTCACCGACCTCTCCTCTCGTCTATGAGCCGGAACATCTCGTAGGATATTATTCGCGAAATGTAACACACATACACGCGAGGTCAAGCTTCGCGAATAGTAAAATAAATTCGGGCGAATACGACAAACAATTTTTATACCTAGATACGATTAAATTGAATTGTTTGTTTTAAAAATGCCATCACTAGTTGACTTTGGAAAATTTTGCTAAATATATGCGAAAACATTTTACTAATTGACATTTTCTTGTATTTTTATTTTATTTTATTTTATTTATCCGACTCACATGTTTTATATTATTTGTTATTTATTTTAGAAAAATAGCTTAACATCAGAATTTTTTTAAAATTCTGCTAAAATTCGTCCATGTAAATTATGTCTGCATTTCACTGAAATTCATAACATTTTTTTGAATTTAACTTACGCAGCTTTTAAAATAAAGCGAGTCAATTAAACGTTTACGAAATATTCACGTAGTATAATCGTAAACGTATAGAATCAAAACAAATAAAAGAAGAAAACGCGAAACTCCGGAAGTGTTGTCGACAGTGTCGACACGCAACTTTTTTGTTAATTTTCGCTACACGTGCTATCGTCGATCGGCGGTAATCCCCATCAACAAAAACGAGCTTGTAGTATCGGGAAATAAAAATGTAAATCCTCTTCGAGGACATTCTCGATATCGCGTGCAAACATTTCCCGAGCTTAGCTAACGAGGATTTTAAATTTCATCAACTTGCCGATCGTTGACATCGTCGTAATAATCTAAAGCTAAAGCGTAACATAAGGAACGAAAACCATAAGTGTACGTTCTTACAAATATTAAAAACGATGAAATTTTCACTTTTATTAGAAACTAAAGTTACGTCAATAAAATTAGAAATTTCTTGAATAAAAGCCAAAAGTATAAATATTAATATAATGTTATAAAATATCATTGTTTTCTTCAATATTAAAAATCCATCAAAAATAATCATTGAAAATAGAATACAATTTTATATTTTAAGTTTTTATATTTTATAGTTATAAGTGTAATTATAACTATATAAAATATAATTATCTATATTCCATTTTTAATAATCATTTTTGGTGGATTTTTGACTTATAATACTGTAAATGGTGAACATCTTCGGTCCATGAAGCAAATCCGTGAAACGAACCACCGACACTTCGGCGTAGCAACATCTAAAGCAAACAGAACTATTAAAATGGAGATTCCTCTGTCGAATGCACACATTCGCGAGGCGGCGAACTTCCGCAAGATTTTCGGCACGTCGTACACTCGGCGCGATCCGAAAACAAGGTCAGTAGCAACGATAGTTTGACGATAGTTTGAGGATAGTTCCGAGCGAGATCACCCTCGATGCGAAACTTTCCGGCGATTCGCTAGCTGGATAATACCCTTTCCTCGCGCTTTTTTTCTCTTCCCTCTTTGTGAGTTCCGCCCGCATGTGCGCGCGGTCGTTTGTGCAGAAATTTAAATGATTTAGCTCCCACCCCGAGGGAACACGCCAATTTTTGATGTTCCGGCAGAACTTCGCCTTGCGAGATATATCTCTCGATGCGGGAGAATAACCAGGTAATGGCGGCGCAGAAACGACGCTTACCACCCAATTCTTTCGTCGTATTATCCGGTACGGAAGTTGGATTTAAGATCTTACTTTCTATGTTTGTCAAAAACCAATTGCATTCCTCATTGATAACATGCAAAATTTTATAACATGCCAAAAATTTGCATGCTTATCAAAATAAAGAATTAAATTTCGAGTTTCTTTTATCCATTTGAATTCAGTCATTCCGTACGTTTCTTTCATGCTTTAAGGAAGCCTTATTTTCCTGCGGATCGACATGACACGCAAACTTTGTATAAAAGTTTACAATAGAGAAAAGTTGAATATATGCGACATATGGAAGGACTGACAGAAGACCATTACAATGCCGAAGTTATGTGT